TTCCTTGGAGTCAGAAGCCACATGTCTACTGGCCCCAGTGTTTTAAACAAGAAGATGTGTGGCACATTTTTATTTTAAAGGCAGTCAGGCAGTGTAGAAAATGAAAAATAACTATTTGCTTTTAGATCATTCTATATAAGATTGAAAAGTGTTTAAAATAACATGGACTGGAGCGATAGCACAGCGGTAGGGCGTTTGCCTTGCACGCAGCCAGCCCAGCCAAGCTGGGTTCAATTCCTTTCCCCTCTCGGAGATCCCGGCAAGCTACCCAGAGTATCTTGCCTGTATGGCAAAGCCTGGCAAGCTACCCGTGATGTATTCAATATGCCAAACACAGTAACAATAAGTCTCAAAATGGAGACGTTACTGGGCCCGCTCAAGCAAATCGATGAACAACGGGAGGACAGTGTTTGTTTTTTGTTTGTATATATAAACAAATTAAAATCTTGGAAAATCTGACATGAGGAATAGAAGAGAAGAGAGCAGTGCTATTAGTCATTAGACAAATGAATGGCACAGGAAAGAAATTTTCTGCTCATGCAGAGAATGTTCACGTGTCTGGACCCCGGGGCGTAATGCACTGGTTAGAGGTCACACACATGAACAAAGAGTTGACGCCTCTTTGTCCCACACAATGCCATGTAGTCCTCAGCAACACCCTTTTGATCCTGGGAGCCACACGTGAAACTCCAGCACACCGTGACATATGTGCAACTGCTGGACAATACAACAAAACAGGAAGGAAAAAAGCATTCATAGCCACCAAGTCATGAAAAGTAAAATATTTCTTACAAAGTTTGGCAGATGGGGCACACATTACTCTGCTCAGGGACCACACTTAGCAGTGCTTGAAAGACTATGTGCGCCACAAGGATTTGAACCACTGTCAACGGCTGCAGCTGCTTTCAAGACAAGTGTCTGAAGCTTTGTACTATCTCCCCATCGCTCCAGTTTTTTTAACGATACGTTCACGTGTTGAAAGCTTGTAATACTTGATTGTACTTTGCTGTCGCTTTTATTTTTATACTTTTGTCTGTGTATGTTCCTTGATCTCAGAGGAGTTCCCGTAAATGCTCCCATATGTACATGATTGTGAAATCGCCTTGTCCAGTAAGATGATGATGAACTCGGGTGAGACTAAACAGCACATAGATAGTCCCTGACTTCTCGATTGCTTTAGCTTCTCTCTAACCTGAACTTGGATCTTCCACAGTTTTCCCATCGACCCATCAGCACGACTATCTCCAAGATCTTGATTGCATGCTCGACACTGTCTAATCACTGGCTCCGGCTATGAGCTCATTCCCTTTCCTTCTAGGGAACAGAGATGAACTCTCAGACATCACCATCTTCCTCTCCCCAACATCTTGGGTCCCTCTTTACCCAGCTCAGGCTCGATGGTCTGTCTTGCATTTGTCTTGCAGGGATTGCCTGCACCCTGACTCCTTTGCCCACTTTCTCATCTCCTCCTCGCTTGGCAGTTTCACAACTCTGGCTGAATCCTGATCTCTGCCTACTTTGTTGCCAGCCTCTGAAAATTGCACATTGGCTGGAGGGAGGGGGAAAAAAAAGCTGTCCTGTCTGGTTTCGCTTTTAATTCTTGATCATGAAATTCAGGTCAGAGCTGAAGGCTGCGGAGTGGCATCATGTGTTAACTCACCCTCACTGGACTCTTGCTTTAACACCTCATCTCTCAGCCTTCTCAGCCAATGCCTCCTTCTGACAGTGGCTAGAAAACTGAAGCAGTAAAAGAGCTCCCACTGTTAGGGAATTCTGACCAAGAAACAGGCAGCATGTGAGAGGTCTGAGGGAGGTCCCTTTTATTTATGTGTGGGAACTCCACCTGACCACTGCCAAAAGGACTGAGCCCCAGCCAGGCACAGGTCACAGCGGTTTTCATCCTTTTGTGGCTGGGTGGAGGGTCCTACAGTGAACACATCCTGTGCTTGGGACACTCTTGGCAGGTTTTACAGCCCATTTACTTCTCAGCTCCAGATCTTACAACCTGGTGTGAGCCAATTCTTACAACATTAGTCCGAATGATTAATAACCCATTTGTGACTGTTCGGTTCCCAGAGTGATTTGCTCAGGGGCCATATTCCTGATTCCTATTTCACCACTGCCCTCACTGAACCCCTGTGAAGGCAGCCTCCCTGTTCTGCTGTCCACTCTGCCTACTCATAGATAGGGGCTAGTCGTCCTTCTCGTCATCACCTTGACCCTCTCCTGCGGGTTTACTCCCATTAGCATTGAAGCATAGGTCACCTCCTATCATCTTAAGGAAAACAAAAATAGGGGCTGGGAGATAGTATGGCAGTTCTCAGTTACAGTCCTGGAGTCCCCTGTGGCCCGTTGTCTTGGGCATCACTGGGCCTGAGCAGCAGCGTATCCCCAGGCCCTTGCACTGAATCACCAGCCCAGTTGGACAAGAATCATTGGTGGGACACCCCACCCCACCCCGACCCACGGCCTCCTGACACTGCTTGGAGGCCTTCCCCCCAAAAAAGAAAGAAATTTTCCCTGGACGCTGTGTCCACTTCCTCCCTTTAATCGCACTTTGCGTATTTTCTCCCCATTCAAGTAAAGCCCCCGAGACATATCTAGGGACCATTCTTGAGACTCTCGGGTCTCTTCCATCTGCTCTCACAAACTTTGGGCCTAACTCTTCGGTTGCTACCTTCAACATCCGTAGGCCGCATTTCATAGCTTTGTTGACTATGCTTCACACCTCCCTGACCCCCCTCCCCCACACTCAAGTCACCTGATTTCATAGCTTCTAGGATGTGCCCTTTCTTGATCTTATTCTTAATACTAGTGAGTGTTTCTCAGTCTTAAGAAAGACTAACCCAAAACCTCTCCTCTCCCTGTCGTTTAATCTTTGTTCATCATCTTTACATCTGTGGGTCTTTTCTTCCATTATGATCCACACAGTTGAGTTGGTAGTTGGTTGGGGGGAGGGGGGATTGGGGCAGTGAGGGGGGAGGATAAGGGGAATTGGGGTCTTTGAAAGTGGGAAATGGGCACCCTGGTGATGGATGTGGCATTAGAATCACATGAATGACAAACCATTCCTGTGTAGTATTGCAAACTGTGGAATTTTGATTTTCTAAGTTATTTTGGAAAGGTCTTAAAAATTAATTAAATAAGGATCACCTGTAGGCAGGAGAGATAGCTTGACGGACTGTATCTCTTGCTTTGCATGAACCCGTGTTCAGTCCCCAGTGCTGCTTGCACCCCTACCTCCCAAAGAACCACTGGATGCAACCCCTAAGCTCTGAGCACCTCTGGGTATGACCAAAACACAAATCTTTATACTTTCATGTTTGGGGGCGGTGAGATTGGACCCTGCTCAGTCATGCACAGCGCTTACTCTTGGCTCTCTGTCCAGGGATTATTCGTGTCAGTGCTCAGGGGACCATATTCAGTGCCAGGAATTGAACCAGGATTGGCTGCATGCAAGGCAATTGCTTTACTCCTGCCCAACAAGAATCATTTTTGGCTCAACAACAACAAAATAAAATGTTTAATGAAATAAATTCATCTCTGTGCTAATGACTTTCAGATTTATTATTTCCAGCCAGACCACCCTCTCAACCATCGCGTGAGTATCTCCCAACCTGCACATCTTGGCTAATGCAGCTCCTGCTTGGCTTCAGCTGCCCAGCCACATTCTTAATACTTTCTCATCTCTTCCAGCCCCTGCGTCTCATCCTTGCGTTACTGTAGATGCTTCCTCACTTGACGTCTCTGCCTTGCGCTCCTTTACAGTTTGTTCTTCTATAACCTCGGTTACCACACTTGCCCACAGTAATTCCCAGCCCACACTGGTGAAGAACTGTGATTCTTCAGAGCTACACACAATCCGATCACCTCTTATGTCTCTGATTTTCTTTTTCTTCTTTCTTACCTTTTACTTCCCCAGTGCCAGCCACACAAATGTCAGTATGGTTTGGGGGCTACCCCTGATGACACTCCAGGGTTACTCCCAGCTCATTATTTGGGGGTCATTTCCAGCTCAGGAGAACATGGAAATGGACCCCAGGACTCCCGTTTGTCAAAATATGTATTTCAGTCCTTCGTACTTGCTCCTCAACCCCCCCATGGCTCATGATTTCTTTTTTAAGAAATTGGTGTGTTATATGTCATTGATATGTCATTGTGTTATATGAGGCAGCCTTCAGAAATGACTCCTTTAGCATGATGGCTATATGTGGTCTTTGTTCTAAACTGAAAATAATTCTAGAATGTAGCAGTAGTATCATAAATAGTGAAAATGTGTAGACAACATAATTGATCCTTAACACTTTTTGCTACATGTTCAGAGTTCTTCACAAATTCCCCCAGATTGTGAATACTCGGGTAATATATTCTAGTCTCACAAATTCGTTTCTTGGAAGGAAGCTGAACCCCAACTAGTCTCACCATGGAACCATAGCGACATGGTGCAGTTCAGCAGCAACTCAGTGCCCTCACCATTGTCCGTGTAACCTAGAAACCTCAGATGCCAATTTATGAAAGCCAAGGGTCTGGTATTTCTGTTCTGTTTGTAGGTGTTTTAAATAGCAGTTTGAAAGGTTTCATTCTCTCATCACCACCATTCAACCTCGACTTCAGAATATGTGTGGGTTTTATTCTAATTTAATATCAAGGCGAATTATTATTAAAAATAAAATATGTCACCACTATCACAAGTCTGAGCTTTTGCTTTGAGATCAAATTACGGGTACATATCCATTCAACTTTGGTTTGGGACTTTAGGTAATAAATTCTAAATATAAGCCAAAAACATATCTATGTTTGTTTTCATCTCAAAATTGATTTTTAGACATAATAGCATAAAACACTCTTTGCTGCCATAACTTTTTTTTTCTTTTTAATGATAATGATCAGAAAGCCTTTGGCTAAAAAGGAGTGGGAGTGAGGAAAGGAGATGTCGTCGTCATGGTGACAGCTGTCCAGGGTAAACATCTCACATCTCTTCCATTAATCATGTATTTTAGGGCAATTCAAGCTGCTGGAACAAGACCGAGATATAAAGGAGCCAGTGCAATATTTCAACAGTGTGGAGGAGGTGGCTAAAGCATTTCCTGAACGCGTGTACGTCATGGAGGAAATAACATTCAACGTGAAGGTAGCTCTGGAAGAACCAAATATTTATTCTCACTAAAATGATTTAACTTTCAGATTATTATGTACACAGAAGTGACCTTCTGTGCCTCGTGGGCAGGTTCTGTCTTCCTGATGGGTTAATGACAGTGAGTGGCGAAGCCGGCCTATGTAAGCATAGCGTACATTGTAGCTGACTGGACTTGGGTCTGGTTCTGGGGTTAATTGCCAGAATAATTGTGGAGGCAGATCCAAAGTCGCTTAGGTTAGAGGGTTATCTGGACTTTATTGTAAGTCCGTATGTCACAACTCTTGTACCAAATCTTTTGTGGGGCTGGATGCTCCCTTGCAAGCAAGCAAGAGGTTAGGTTGGTTGTCGTTACTGATCACGTATTTGAAGAGTGCACGCGTCTTGTGTTTCATGCACGTTTATTCCACGCTGTGAAGACAGTGTCGGTTTACAGAGAGAAAATTGGCATATAGATTGTTGCCCCATAGGTATCTATTGATTCTTGTTCAACAGAGAAAAGCTAAATTGTTTGCAGCATTTGTTTTTGCATTTTTCCAGAGAAAGTCCCATGCCTCCTCTATGTTGAGTGGACGCCTGGGACTAGCCAGAGAAGCAACCCTCCAATAAGGCCGGCCCAGCCCCACTGAGTTTTCTTCATAATATTCACAGCTGCATGAGAACATTTCTGAAGGGGGGTGCACGAAAAAGATTTTCTGTTGAAAATATTCCCTTCACCGGAAGTCCACTCAGTCACTGTGAGATGTAGGGGGCGAGGTCAAGATGTGTCTTTCTTAGAGAGCCCCGGTGTGCGAGAGGCAGGCTGCAGGCTCTGAGTGCAAGTTTGTTCAAGAGGACAGAGTGTCTCCGTGCATGAGTCACTCCGCCCACACTCCAGGAAAGCGCTTCTGCCTGTTAGATTGGCTAAGTCTAGTCATTCTTTCTTCCAGTCCTAAAATACAGCTGTTAGAGTCACTGTCTTCCGTTCTGATGTTTTGTGTTGGGTTTTTTATTTTTCCTAGCGGGTGAAATTTGTGCTTTATAAAATTAATTTATACCAGGGAGAAAATTTAAAAGACTAGAGTGTACACTTTGCACACAGGAGGATCAGATTCAACCCCCAGCAACACATCACACCCCTAAGCAGGGCATTAGTGACCCCTGGGTTCTGCTAGGTGTGACACAATCACTTAAAAATTTTACTGAAGGTGTCTGGAGAGATAGCACAGGGGCAGGGCATTTGCCTTGCACGTGGCCGACCCAGGTTCGATTACCAGCATCCTATATTGTCCTCTGAGCACCGCCAGGAGAAACTCCTGAGTGCAGAGCCAGGAGTAACCTCTGTGCATTGTTGGGTGTGACCCAAAAAGGAAAAAAAAATTTATTGAGGGAGTCACAGCCATCTGGGTCCTGGGTGGGAGCTAGGCACATGCAGTGGCAGAGACTGAACTCAGTGCCTCACACATTCTCTACTACTTGGCACCAGAGCCACATTCCCATCCCTTGTTGAAAAAATCCTTTGCTAGCTAAAGTTTATTATTTATTTATTTATGTCTGTTCCAAGCTTTATGTACTTCCAAGTATATTTATTATTTTTTAAAAATTTTATTATTATTGTAGTGCAGGTAAAAATTTGTGTAATATTTAACCCCTTCAGTTTTTTAGTATGAATTATTATCAAGAAAATTTCTTTTTATTTACAAGATTTGTGAGGACATGTTCTTTTTTTTGAATCACCATGAGATATAGATATATATATATATACATATATATATATATACAAGCTTTCATGTTTGAGTTACAATCACACAATGATCAAACACCCATCCCTCTACCAGTGCACATTCCCTACCACCAGTATCCCCAGTATACCCCCCCTCCCACCCTCCCCCTACTCCATGGCAGACATGATTCCCCATAATCTCTCTCTACTTTTGGGCATTATGGATTGTAATACAGACACTGAGAGGTTATCATGTTTGGTCCTTTATCTACTTTCAGCACACATCTCCCATCCCGACCTATTCCTCCAGCCATTTTCTTAGTGATCCCTTCTCTGTTCCAGCTGCCTTCTCCCCCGCCACTACCACCCCACTCATGAAGCAGGCTTTCAGCTATGGAACAAACCTCCTAACCCTTGTATCTACTGTCCTTGGGTGTCAGTCTCATGTTATGTTATTTTATACTCCACAAATGAGTGAAGTCCTTCTGTATCTGTCCCTCTCTTTCTGACTCATTTTACTTAGCATGATACTTTCCATGTCTATCCACTTATAAGCAAATTTCACGACTTCATCTCTTCTAACAGCTGCATAGTATTCTACTGTGTAGACGTACCAGAGTTGCTTTAGCTAATCGTCTGTTCTCGGGCATTTGGGTTGTTTCCAGATTTTGGCTACTGTGAACAGTGCTGCAGTGAACTTATAGGACATGTTCTTTTTTAGATTTAACAATTCACTGGCCAGAACCAAATCATAGAACAAAAAGTTACCTCGTTCCAAAGGTCACCTGTGCTGAGACTGAGCAAATTTAACCTAACCTCTGATTTTGCCAAGAGAAAAGACTGAGGGCATAGCCCTAAAACACCTCAGCATTGGCATCTAGAAAGGAGATTGAAAGGAACAGCAGTAAGATTAAAAGACAGTCGTGGTGGGGCAGAGCAATAGCACAGCAGCTAGGGAGTTTGCCCTGCACCCGGCTAACCTCACCATCCCATTTTTTCCCCAAGCACTGTCAGGAGTAATTCCTGAGGCCAACCCAATTCCTGAGCATTTATGGGTGTGGTCCAAAAACAAACCAAAAAAAAAACCAGGGGGTTGGGTAGGAAAATGTAAGAATAAATGGGCCGTTGCCTCTCCCCAGTGGTTTGTGCGTGCTTCCTTAGTCCTTCAGAAAGTAATGGCTTTCTTTGTTTTTAGGAGTCTCATACCTATCCCACATTTTTTTCTCATTATTTCCTTTATTTCTTACAATTTTTTTTTTATTTCCCTGGTAAGAGCTTGACTTTTGGTTTACCTTCTTTATAGCATGTTTTTGGTTTGTTTTGTCTTTGGTTTGGGGGCCGTGGGGCCCTGGCTGGCTATGTGCAGTGCTTACTCCTGCCTCTGTGTTCAGGGATCACTTCTGGCTCAGATGCGGTGCCAGGGATCAAACCCATCTTGGCCTCATGCCAGGCAAGTGCCTTCCCCATCATGCTGTCTCTCTGGCCCAGGACATGTTTGTTTGTAAATCAAAAGGCTACCACCTTTCAGTTTTTTCATCAGCCATGTTCCCTTGCAGAGTCAGAAGATGTCCTGTCTCTAGGTTGGTCATCCCAACCAAAGGTTCATTCTTCTGCTTTTCAATAAAGTGAACAGTTGTGCCACCATTTTAGTTATCATCGTTCTTTAAAACAAACCACTGTGGGGGGGACAGAGCAATAGTACAGCAGGTGAGGCATTTGCCTTGCATGTGGCCAACCCGAGTTCGATCCCTGGCATCCCAAATGGTCCCCCTAGCACCGCCAGGAGTAATTCCTGAGTGCAGAGCCAGGAGTAACTCCTGAGCATTGTTGGGTATGACAAAAAAATTTTAAAAATAAAAAAATTAAAAAAAAAAAAGAAACCAAACCATTGTGATCCAAAACGCACAAGGAACTGTAGTGTTGCTCAGTCCTTAGATTCGTGGTTGCGTACAGAGCCCCATTCCAGGCTGGCCTGCACTAGACCCCTTAGTACCCACCCCATAGATTTATTTACATAAGGGATTGACAAATTGGAGCCTCTGGGAAAGCCACCTGTTTTTGTCAATAAAATGTTACTGAAACACAGTCACCCTACAGACTTTAGTGTTACCTATGATGGTTCCTACCTTACAGCCAGCTTGCATTATTCCACAAAGCCTAAAATCACTACTCTGGCCCTGTAAAAAAATGTTTGACATCCCTGATTCAGAACATGGAAAATTTACCAAATTAACTCTCCTGTTTAAAAAAAAAAAACCCACCAACAGATTATGTATTTGCTTCTCTTTATTTAGTATTTTATATCCTCAGTGTTAAACACTAAGAGCTCCATAGTATGTGGTGGCTATTTGTTTCACAAGACCTCTTCACCTTTCATACTTCTGTGGAGACTTATACCAGTACCAAGCAGATGGTTTCCAGAATTTCCCACCCTTTCAGACCCAGCCAGAGAGGATGAGGAATGTTCTACACGTATCTTTTCTTCCATCAGTGTAATGACACGTCAATTAATTCTTCATCCAAGATGTCTCTTTATGGTAACAGTCATGACAGGGGAAAGTGCTGCCTTTCGTGTGGCCTGAGTTCATTGGCAGTGCTCTTGAGTGGGTAAGAGGCTTCCCATCTTCACTACTGTCACCCCAAAGCTTTCTACTCGGAAGTCCTGTCCCCAGTCTGAAGGTACCTGGGACCTTTGTCTTCATGCTGAAACATTGTTAGTCTTATTGCAGCAGTAAGGTCTGCACTTTCAGCAGTTTCTACAGAGCCTTTCCCCAGAAACATGTCACACACTTGCATGGTCCCCACTGGGGAGAGCGCCCACAGGAGCCGTGAGCACTCGGTCAGATGTGACTGTGAACTCTAGTCACCGCTTCTGCCTGCCCCACTCTAGGGAGCTGTCGACCTGTGGGCGGCGACTGGCACTGAGCAGACAGTCTTGTCACCTGCACATCAGCTCCTGATAGCTGGAGTGTGCACCTGCTCTCTGGAGGGCCATCAGCGTCGAGGAGCTGAGCTTCCACAGCGTGGGGCCAAAGGCGCCAGGGTTGTTCTGTTTAAATAGGGGGAAAGTTTTATGAGGACCAGAGAACTCACCTGATAATTAAGCATTTCAATACTGAGAAACATCACCACGAGAGGAAGGATAGACTGTTTGGAACCGGACCAGAAAGAGAGTACCAGGCATAAGGCCCTTGCAATGCACGTGCCTGGTCCTGGTTTGATTCTGGGCACCGCATTTGGTCTCCCAAGGACCCCTGAGCACAGAGCCAGGAGTAAGCCCTGACACAGCCAAGTA